TCCTTTTTTCATTGTAACTTTAATTTATTCGTCTATTTGAATATTCATTTTTACATTGATAAAAACAAACCTATTAAATAATGTTCTAAATTGAACAATTATGATTTACATTCGTACTATTTTACCTATAAAAATTTGAAAAACGAAATGATATCAATGAAATAAAAGTAACAATTCAGCTTCCCACGCTTTATTCACTTCGTCTATGTCAATATGTATGATTAAGAAAGTTTTCAGAAACAATGCACACCCAAATAAGAAACGATTCTCACTTTTAATTCGAACGATGTCAATTCCATTATAGTGTTGTATTACTCATCTATAGTACATATTTTCTGCTTGAATAATAGTTAAGCTTCAATACATCCAATCGTAAAAAAATCCTTAGGTTTAAAATGGTCATAAATACTATAATTAAATAGCTAAGTTGTAATATACTTTAATAATATCAAATTTTCAAACTTCTTCATATTATTTCTGAAGTTTTTATTTCTGTTTAAATATTACATACTAACTATATTATAATATCATTATTCCTTTGTAGATATCATATTTTTTTATTTATCATATTTTAATATTAAATTTAAAACTTTTGAAGTGATGGAACTGATCTACATAATATAGAAAACTGCGAGGAAACATTTTAATTTTATCTATCTTTACTTGCATACTTGTTATGTACACAAGCTTTTAGTAATAAAAAATATATAGCTTTTGTAAGTGATAAAAAATCTCTTTACAAGAGTTGAAAGAATTTTACGGTCTACTATTTTGTAGTTTTTAAATTTATAATGAAAAAGACATCGCATTTTAAATATACAAATAAAATAAAAAAAAAATACTTTACACGTGTATTATCGTTGAATTTTTCGAGAAAATTTCAAGTTGTACTACAAATATTTAACTTTTTGATATGTTCCCAGCATGCGACTAGTTACTTAAATTTAAAACATAAATTTATATTACTCATATAAATTAACGGATTATAAAAATGTGGTGATAAGGTTAAAGAAACGTATTAATATTTGTTTCTTTTGATAAATTAATTTTAGTAAAATTTAATTTATATAACACCTACAACATTTTAATTGAAACTTTGTAGTAGATTTGTTTTTAAAATATTTTTAAAAATAATATAAATATATATATATATATAATTCTATTATTATAAAATTATTCTAAAACTTAAAATTAAATAACTATTGGTGTATTATTAGGCAATATCATCATTGAAGTTTATATCATTTTTTATTCATTTACCTTCTTACGGTTAAACAACAAGAAATTAACTTTAAACCACTTAATGTAATATAAATTAACGACTTTTTTCTACCGACGTCGTGACCCTCTTAGTATTTTCCCATCTCGGTAACTACCCACAATAATAAAAATACTGGATGGTCAGGATTTTATAAAGAACAATCGGGCATAGGTGGCTTTCACTAAAAAAATCCATTGACTATGTCCGGTACTGCCGGTCGCTAATCACAATGTGTGGCGCGTGGTCGAATAGATGAAGGATAAGTCAAAGTAGTAAAATTCAAATAGAAAAATAATTGACAGATACGCCAATGGTTCATCAATGTCTTAATAAGATGAGAAATTTCAAAAAAGTGGGGCGTGACTGAAGGCGATTTGGTGTGCGGAAAATTCTGCCATTTAATATTCAATTTGCCGTTAAAAATTTATTGTTGAGAAAAAATGAAGCAAAAAATTATGAAGTCGTGCGTTTCGATATTACTAAATTAATTACATTGCTCTGTATGAACCGACTAGTCTGCAACTGTATATGAACAATGATTGATTCACTCATGACCATAGTAATAAGTTATTATCGTTGGATAATTTCATGTTATTACAAGTTACATATGTAAGGATGCTTTAAAGAGTTGAATTATTATCTTAACATCGTGGTGCTATGATATTATGTTTAACTTATGAGCAAGACATTTGTGATCTCTCGTAATAATATACACAGATATACGTTGCATTTCTATTATAAATTATTTTTGAATTAAAAATTAAAGTTGTGTGTTATTATGATTTCGACTCTTTACCCATTGATCTAGTTTTAAATATTAACTCTATCTAATTTCAAATTAAATAACCGACACTGTAAAATATTTTTATTAAATATTTTAAGATCCCTTTTCTTAATTGCTCTTATCTCACAAAATTACTAATAAATTATTATTATTTATCAAAGATTTCTTACAAAATGTTTAAATTAATAGGAATACTACAAACAATGTCTAACCAAAAAAGTAATAATAATACTAGTATTTTTACTGTCAAATAATTTTATACAAATATTTATTTTAAAACATGAAACTTTTTATATGATTGTCTCTTGATATTACACCAAGTAACTGTTACTAAAGCCGTCGTTACTTTTTACTTACGGATAAATGATAGCGAATGCTTACGTTTTTTAGTTGAGTGATTTTATTGAAATATTAATTTGTACCACAATATCTACATTTGAAATAACTCTAAGTATTATTAATCTGTTCAAACGGATATTCAATATGCGTTTGTCACATTGATCTTATCCTTTAATAGGAGAATGATTTTTTAAGGTGCAAGGTCGGCACGGCCCACTTGTCTTAATGATATTGTGTGTGTATCAAGTTTTTAATTAAAGGAATGTTTTAATATTTTTAGTATGAAGACACACATTATAAAAATGTCTACATACTTTCCAACAAAAATGAATGATTAAAAAAAAACTTGGTTACATATTAACTGGATAAAGTTACTATACGTAAAACCAAAAAGAAAAATGATATGACTGGACATGACATGATTTCTATTTCAACAAACGAAAAATGGTTATATTTGTAGACTTGCGGTTGTAGTCAATACATTAAATATTTCGTAATCTAAAACTATAGAGGTTATTAATATTATGACAAAGTATTAATTTAAACAAACGAAAAAATACACCAGACCACAGTATTTCTAACAATGTTACTTTTTTCAATTTTGTAAGAATCATAGGTTTTTTGATTTAATATTTAAAATTTTCTAATCTTTGTTTGTATCGGAAACTCGTACTAACTCGTTTCCATTGTTGAGTCATATACTCCATTCTACATCTACTTACTAAAGGATTATTTACAAAATCGACGGAATTACTCTGAAACTAAAACAATAATTTCCATTAACTGTCAGAGAAGAATTAATTGTGTTACATTGACGCGTCTACACTAATTACTTTTTAAATATTTTCAATTTATTATCAAAATGTTTATACTTCTCTTCTAATCTAACTTTATGCATTTTAAGTCCAATATGCTTTATTATTATCGAACAAAATTGAAGTTTTTGCTATAGTAATTTTGATTTATTATATTGATTATAAATTGCGCGTTATCCTACTTCCTACTCTTATATTTATCAATTATTTTTGCAACAATCCAATTAAATAATTTTCAATTATTTTACTAAAAAAAGTCATTTGAAATTTATATATTTTTATTGATAATTTGTCTACAGATTAATGTTGCAAATAAATTTATTATATATTATCTATTTAGCAAAATTATTATTGAAACTTGCTTTAAGTAGTATAATATTCACAAAAGTAAAACTAGCTGCAGAATATGTAGGTTGCTGTAAATCAGTACCGGCTAACATAGATTTTTGAATACTAGAATTGTATGTCATTGGCGAAGGTCGACACACATGACAAATAAACAAATGTATTTGATAGTGTAGATCAGCATCAGACGATGGTCTAAACATCCAATTCAAACTCGATAGTATAAAAAAATAAATGAAATCTGTATTATTATTACTATTATGCACACAATTGTTCTATTAAAAAAATATTCCATGATGTCTGTATTCTTATACTATATCAAAAAGTCACGGTGATACATGTATATTGTTTGTCCCACTGTAAAATCTGTGCTGCATTACAATACTCATACAAATGTATCATCGTAAAAAAATATTGCGGTTCTAGAAACCTACATATCGCCATTACTTCAGAAAACATATACTAGTATAAATTTAATATTTATATATGTTGAAAACAAATAACATTGTGAATTGCGACAAAAACTATCTTCTTCTAACAGTAATTTAAAAAAATGGCTAAAGTTTATCCTCGTCATTTTTAGTAGTAACCGGAAAGTAAAATGGGTATTTTTCACTGAAACGTACAAATAAACCCAAAAGCCGAGCTATTTGACCACTACCTAACTTAACCAATAGCCATGAAATATTTTTCCTTTTAAAAAAACTTCTCAGATAGCAATCCATAAAAAAACTCATCTATCGGGTCAATCGGAATTGCATGAAAAATTATATCTTCTTCTTTTTGTAAATTATTTGAACTTTTTTATAAAACCCTATTTAAATATTTCCATATATTTTACTGTCTTTTAATTCTAATTGAGAGGGTTACTGACTTTTTTTTATTGTTGACTATTAATTCACAATTATTTTATACGAAAATATAACATTTACGCTATTAAGTATTGTTTGTATTACTTCAAGCTAACTTAGAAATTATGGCACAACTAGTGATAACACTATCTATAATAATTGAATTGACAATTATTTAATTCCTATGTAATCACAATAAACAACATGAATTGATTAATCTGATCTATTTATATTTTGAGTATTTTTATCAGTCACTTTCAATGAAGCATTTTTTAAAAAGATGATTGTCAATTCGGAGAAGTTATTCGTTAAATGTAATGTTGTTTGGAAAATAGCAGTAGTAAAATTGTAGACATAAAACTTTGAAGGGTCTAGGATCGAATTTCAATACGTGTATATGATACTAACGGTGATTTTATTATCATACTCGTTTGAACTTATTAAATTTTTATTTCTGAACAGTAAATACCACGTTATTTGTCACTCTCGATTTTATGATATTAGAAAACGTAATAAATAATAAACTTTTGTAATAAGTAAATGTTAACAAAATTAATTTTTTTTTGACGTGTTTCTTGTATTAAATTCAACAAATTATTTTATAGGTCTCAGTTAAAGACGACGCGTTTGAAAAAGTCTGAAAAATCAAGGTAAGTTCCTAAGTATAACACTTTTAATCTCTGTCTATTCTATCTTTCAATTATTATTACACGAACAACCCTGACTGACTGTGGCATTGTCTAAGCAAGCGGTGGTACCTGACAGATTTTCTCACACGATTTTGCGAGTACGGCTCGCATAATAGAACACCCACCACTTGCGTTTCAATGTTTAAATTGTATGAGAGTACCAAAAACCAACAATTTCGATTAGACCCCACCGCGAGTATATTCGACGGCGAAATGTTGTGTATCGTTTGGTAAAAATCGTGCCGTGTGTATTGATAAAAGTATAATGGACACCAGTCGAATGGTTTTCAAACACCGCAATCAGCATTGATATTGATCTCGGCGAATACTCTGTATAGTTCTCTTGTAAATCATGAAAGCTAGTAACAACTAAACATAATCGTAATAATATTTTGTCAGATCGCCTAGTGAATTTATTGTTGTACGCATTTTTTTCCTCGTGTTTGGCATTAGAAAGCTTCCCGTCACTTTTGAACCGCCTTCATATGTAAGTGTGCATCCGCTACTACTGTTTACTATTAAATTACATCCAAAAACATATTTTTTTTAATCCGACATTTTTAGATCGTTTGTAATTTGTTTGTGATTATAATAAGGACACCGAATAACGTAAAATTATAATCTAATTGAAAACTAGTTTAGTCGTTCAGCGTTTCATTTCCGCAGAGCTTATGTGGGCGGTAAACGCTTCATTATAGAAAACAGTAATTTTACATTTAGAACTTTTCCAAAACCAAAAGTGTTTACTCATTGCTCTTGTAAACAATTTCAATTTCAAATCTCTTATAGTAGAGTGTAGGTAATTTGACATGATGAACTTAGCTTCTGATACGAAATTTCTCTTCGTATATCTTTATTATATATAATGGAACCTGAGATGTTCCAAATTCACTCTTATTTCAAATAGTGTAATTTTTAAGTATCTTGTATATGAGTTCTCTGGTTCTATAGTCCGTTTCTTTTTCTGAGCATGGAGATAAAATTCTTTGACCGATCCAGTAGAAGAATGGTTACGGTGAATACGAACGGAACAATAGCGTTGTATTTTTATAAGCCGTGGCTCTTAGGGTATTTTTTTACTTTTGAACTGATAGTTGCATCGTGGGCGTCGGTCACGCTTAAAAAATCCCGAAGAATCGTTTCGGAAGTGGATGACGGTTTCGCCCGTGTGTGACACGCTTATCAAATAGTTAGCGCCCCAAGTGTGTATATATGCTTATGATAGATTTTTTAATGTGCATAACGGTATAGACATGATAAAAAGACGTGACAAGTAAATGAAATTAGGTAAATCTTGAAAATTGTATAGTATTATAACGTAATATTATATGTTAATTATTAGTTATTGTTATGACTTATGTTATTACTATTACTACCAAAAAGTGATTTCCGATTGTACATTATATGATTTGCGCTGCCTTTATTTCATAACTATGTTTAATTGATTTCTAATTTATTTATGAAATTCAATTATGGTTTTATTGCGTACACCCTGAAAGTTTAACATTAATTATTCAACAAAAAATGTATGCTTGTTAAACGTCCTATAATTAAAATAATGTTTTATTAAAACATTGGTGATTAAGTGATACTGAACCAAAATTATGTTAGTGGATATTATGGTAATCAACTCAAAGTTATATTATATTTCATTTGTAATTACAAATTAAAGAAATTGAGTTTTTAATTGTGGTCATTAATTGTTGCCATCAGCATTTACATTTAAAAATATAACTGAACTAACTCGTGCAATTATTCTATTTTTATTAGAAAAGCAATTAATATTGGTTTTTACCGTAAAAATATATTCACTGTTTAAAAATACTATAGGGTTTCTTATGTGAAAGATGTTTTATTAATCATCCAATTGGAAAAACCTAGAGAATTATGCGTTGTATGGCCTAATTTGGCAAAATAACGTTATTGGTTGGTTTTTAACTCAAACATCTTTTTCTTGTCTTTTTTTATAAATTCAATTATAATTTATTTATCATTAAATACTCAAGTCTAAGATGTAATGTATATCAATTGCTTCAGTATCATTTTCGCTTAAAATATCTCATGTTCTGTAAACATCAGTATTCGTACTTTTCTATCTCAAACGTTTCCTCCTTTTCCTTAGTGTCATATATATCTACAATAAAATCGTTTAGGCTAGAAAGTGCACATATACTGTCCCGTGATCTTCGTGATTAAAAATATACGCGTTTCCATATCAGAGATTGCAAAATATGTCTGAAGTATACCATAATAACAGTAGACGTATAATTATAGACGGCCTATAGACATTAAGCTAAAAATATATTCCTAATGATACCCATGTTTGGTATCAGACTAATAATTACTATTAATGTCAGGGCAAAAATAAGCTCATATTTATGTGTTTAAGTTTGGCATCAATCACTACTGCGGTCATTTGGTGAACAAGAAAACAGTCTACTCGACTATTATTATAACGTGCCTTATGTGTCCGGTAACGATTGTTGAATAATTCGAAAAGTATTATGATTCATGAAACATCCGTTTGACTACGTGCAAAGTTAGGTGCCTTGAAGCCATGTGGAATAGATCGAAAACAACTTGATCGTGTACACTTCTTGATAAAAGAGATTTTTGAAGATTTCCACTTTAAAGTCAATGGTATGAGTTTTGTGTGCACACGGACATCAACTTAATAAGTCAAACAAGCCGCTACCAGCCTGTAGGTGTACAGATGTCTACAATCACGTCTTTAGATGATTTTCATACGCTATACGGTAATTATCAGTCTTGAGAGAGGAAAATACGAAGACATTCAATATTATTTTTAAATATTCAATATATATATATATATATTAAGTTAAAACAAAACAAATTCTTTAAAAATACTCATTGCATAGAATTAAACCGTAACCAAAAACCGTTGCCTGGTACATATTGACAGAGGCGATCTTGTTTTGGTGTACCAAATGTTCAAGGAAGTTAGTATAACCTTGGCTTAATGATGAATGCTTGGTTATTGTCTATTTCCGTATAATAACAATAATGATGGTGGTTTGAAATTCTATTGAACGCAACACTTGCTTTTTAACAGTGCCATATGTGAGCTAATACCAGTTTGTAATTTGAATCGAAAGTAAATCTGAATTGCAAGGCCTGAGAAAATGCATTTTTCAATTATTTTACTCGGTAGAGCTTTCTCGCTTAATTTCACCTATGAATTCCGAGTTAATCTAACGCTTTACGATAAACATGTGAACTGGGACACAGCTGTATGCTATGGACAAGCCACTTTTGATTCAAATTCGTTACGGACTTAACCTGTCACGCCATACTTGATTTTCATGCTCGATAGGCAGCCTGAGTTACGACTTCTAAACGGAAAACTTTATTTTGTAATGTCTGTTGTGGTACAAGGGAGAATAACTTATTGGCAACCATTTTATTAGTGTAAATATATAATGTGAGCTAATTAATATTTATCGTGACTGGCTCTATCAGAATAGATGCTTAAAAGATATCCGGGCAAGAAATACCATAAGATTACACACAAAAACAAAAGTAAGCCGATCGTAAACATTAAAAATACTTATTAATACTAACGTATCAATAGTTATATGTAGAAATCGGTCTAAGAGAAGTGCCCCGACAGAATCGTGAATCGTGACAGCAGTAAAGTTATGTCGGCGACCTTCTGAGGTTCACGGTTACTGTGACCGCCATCGGTATGCACCCGTTTTCTTCGTTATTCGTTACTAGACGAATTCCCACAATGACGTTGACAATAACAATGGTGACTTTAATAATTATAGACCACGAATGAGTCTGTAGAAAAAATCTCATCGTGTCTATACTTGAATGCAAAATCCGTTTAAGTGTTAGAAAATTATGCACTTTTTGGTAACGACGAATCAGATAAAAAGATCATCTAAAAGTAGTTTGTAGTGAAGAATCGGCTATTAAACAAACATGACTATCAGGTATGTCCAGCACATTTGATGATAATTTATTTTGCTAAGTAAAACCTATGGTCAGTTTTAGTAAAAAAAATAATAACAAATGTTGCTTTAATTAACATTAATGTGTTGAGATCTAAGAGATTCGGATTTACCACTCTGTTTTTGATGGGAAGAAAATTTTTTTTCCTTTGTACAAACACAACGTAAAGTTATTTTAATNAAAACCTATGGTCAGTTTTAGTAAAAAAAATAATAACAAATGTTGCTTTAATTAACATTAATGTGTTGAGATCTAAGAGATTCAGATTTACCACTCTGTTTTTGATGGGAAGAAAAATTTTTTTCCTTTGTACAAACACAACGTAAAGTTATTTTAATAAAAAAAACAACTATCTATATGCTTTACCATACCTTTTAATACTCTCTTATGAAATTTTTATAAATAATTGCCATAATTGTAAGTTTTCAGTTTTTTTTTTCGGTGTCACACACATTTAGTACTGCAATAATTTTATAGCATTAATTTATATTTTCTGTAAATTGCCAAATAATCTCACATCTTAGAAATTTCTAGATCAATACTTTTAGTGATATTTTTGCAATTTTTTTAATTATGTAAGAAAAGTTAGCTCTTACTATTTGGTACCTCAAAAATGGTGTTAATCTTGAAAAAAGTGAATGTATATTTATTATACGGGTGACATGGAAGATTGTTGTTCACTAGGTAATTTAATATATACTTAGTTTCGAGATTTCATAATTAAATTAGAAGGGAGGAAGATAATATAAAGGAAACTGTTTTCACGGGTCATCAAACGTATCTTCTTATGTCATGTGTATGTTCATCTAATTAAATTGCTGCTCAGTAGACCGTTTTTTCTGGGATGAAAAATGTATAATATATAAACTTACCGTTAAAGCTTCTCGGCTAATGGTTTCACTTGGCCGTCAAATTATAATTAACGGCACTTAGGCGCACTCCATGTAATTTTCTCCGTGTAACTAACCAGAGCATATTATAAA